CCGAAACTTGAAGCTCCGAACTCTAAACCAAAAGCCCGAAACCCTAAGCCTTGAACCCTCAACCCTCAACCCTTCAACACAGGGTCTTTAATAATTACCTATACTATTGTGGGGGTTATTATAAAGCCCTCCTGTAGATCCCTTTTAGAGCCTTGTGAGGAACACTTTACACGCAACCCTACTCTAATTCTTAAGGTCCCTACGTTAGAGAATTATAGAACACTATAAAGGAACCCTATTCTAACTATTGATGCCCCGACATAAGCTCTAAACTCTAAACCTAAATCCTAAACCCCTAAACCCTAAAACCCGAACCCTAAACCCCTAAACCCATAAGCCCTAAGCCCCGCAAAACCCCAAACCTTTCAACCCGAAACCCAAAAGCGGCCAGGTGCTGCCATTCCTTCAGGCGCGGCTCTGTGAGGCCGCGCCCGGCTGTTGTTTTGTTTATGTCATTTTTATTCTTTTTCTGTTTTTGACGGTGTTATCAGGGTTCCAAGGGTTTTTAAGGTTTAGGTTTCAAGGGTTCTGGGTTCAGGTTTCATGCTTTTCTTTGTTTAGGGTTTAGGTTTCAAGGGTTTCAAGCGGCTCAAGGGTCGAGGGTTTAGGGTTTGGGCTTCCAAGGGTTTTATGGTAGCAGCGTAGACGCCCTCGACATGCCCTGAACGTTGCGGTTCGTAAATGCCACATACCAGGCTTTGTTGATAAGCCATTGGAAGGCCCGCTTGCAGCACTCCACAGAATGAAGCACATGGAGAAACAGGGAGGGGATGCCAGACAATGGCAAGCGCATCGAGCAGTCGGACAGGGTATATCACGAGTTGAAGGTTATCACGGGTTCGCTATATGTCCCTATGCTTCGCTGCGCCCTACGATCAGGTAAACGTTCCCGCCCTCGTGTGTCTTGAAGTGCTTTGAAGCAGACTTCAGGCGGTGGGGGTTCCTTATCATAATCATAGTACAATGGGCCCCAAAACCCCAGTCCAATTACTAAGGCCCCTATATTATGTCAATCCATCGCGTCCTTCGTGGGAGAATGCTAAGGTGTTCGTAAGACTTGCTGCCCCTGAGTCAAATAGTTATGAATGTAGTTCTCTTAAATTCTGACCCTACCTGCGCAGTCCCCTGATCCTTGAGTAGCCTTGTAAACTTGTAAGTCCTTGTAGAAACCTCTATGACATCTGCATCTGTTTGGAACCCTTGAAGGGGGAACTTGGAATTAAGAGCCCTAAGAATTCAAATCCTCAAGCCGGAACCCCCAAATCCCAAACCCTAAACCCCAAACCCGAGACCCCAAACTCCAAACCCTAAAACCGAAACCCTAAACCCTGAAACCGTAAACCCTAAACCCTGAAACCATAAACCCTGCACCCTAAACCCTGAACCTTAAACCGTTATATACCCCTAAATCCCCCCCAACGCCCTCCCTCGCAGGTCTTCGATCTTCTCCTGTCAGAGTTGGATCAGCCGCGCAGCTTCATGGGAGGTTCATGGGTTTAGGGTTTAGGGTTTAGGAAGTAGGGTTTAGGAAGTAGGCTTATATGTGGGGTAACCATGCTAGGGCTTGTAACCCTACTTTTAACTGCCCATGAACCTCCAAGTGTCAGGTTCTTGTTTAAGAAGCTGGGTTTAGGGTTGAGGGTTTCATAGGAGGTGCTTGTTAGGGGGTTAAGGATTAAGAAGCTGGTTTTAGGGCTTAGGTTTTCATGGAAGGTTCTTGTTCAGGGGTTTAGGGTTTGTTTAGGGTTAAGAAGCTCGGTTTGGGGTTTAGGGTTAAGAAGTTGGGTTTAGGGTTTCGGGCTGAGGACCGGAGCTTGAGCTTAGTTCGAGTTCGGTCTCGGTATTACGGTATCTTAAGTCAGTCGTTGGAGCCTCTTGTTAAGGAGCTTACAGGTAGTTTGAGCTACCGTAGTCGGCACCTGTACGAATATTTTATTTTGGTTTCAGGATTGTGGTATCTTATATGAAGCTCCGTAAGCTTAGGGCTCAAACAAGGTTCTACAAAGGCTCTACAGGTTCAGGGGTCAAGGTTCGAAAGAGCTCTATATGTTTGGGATTAGGTTTCAGGGTTTTACGGGTTTCAGGGTTTAGGGCTTAGATAAGGGTTCGAAAAGCATTCGGGTTCTACAAGGGTTGTCGAGGGAATGTCGAGGGTTCTTTGAAGGGTTTTTTGAGGAGTGTCGCCAGTGGTCGTGCGTGAAGGATTATCAACATCAACGTAGATAATGCACAATGTAAACCCACTCTCTGCGGCCTGACTATTCGGATGCCCATGCTAATCCACATTACGGGAGGAGGGGGGGGGTCTATTCATACAGAAGATATATACCAGATGTGGCAGTAACCCTGAACCCAAAATTTAGGGTTTAGGGTTTAGGGTTTGGGGGTTCAGTGCCTACTATAGGGGCCTAGATAATTACCAATAATATTTTGAGGGTTTCTTATTGAAATTATGGTATAAGGGGCCGCAAACCCCTATTCAAGTTTGGGTTTAGGGTTCAGGGTTTGGGGGTTTAGGGTTTAGGGCTTGGGGACTATACCGGCAACCCGAGTGCTCTCGTGGCCAAGGTACTTGTGGCACCGAGATCGATTCGTCCTCGAGTGCCCTGGTCTAGTAGAGTTTAGGGTTTAGGGTTTAGGGTTTAGGGTGTAGGGTTTACGGTTTAGGGTTTAGGGTTTAGGGTCCAGTAGAAATCTGAAAAATCCTTGGCATGATCGGGTCTTGCGTGGGGCTACGACTAGAGGGGCTTATGTAGTTACCCATACTATTTTGGGGCTTCCTTAGTATACTTATAGTATAATGGGCCCTAAAACTTTATTCAAATGATTAAGACCCCTATATTAATATTGTATGCAGGCCATGAGTCTTTTTTCGTGTATGTATGGGGGTTCATACAGGGGATTGTCAGGCTCGATTGTTGGTGAGTTAAGGTTTAAGCTAAGAGTTGGGCATTTGGGGATTGGGGCTCAAGCTCTGGGGTTTACACAGCCTTAAAAAAGCCGAAAGCCATTAAATTGCAATCACGGCAGTGAGGGGTACTTGTGTTTTTCTGTTGGCTGCCACTTCTTCGCAGTGCTCGTCATGGGCTTAGCGGCTTAGCAAGCATGGTGCAGGAATACCAAGGATGCAGTACCCAGAGACTCCAATCCTTAATTAAGGAATATACCTTAAATCGTATAAAGGGTCCTACCATAATCTAAGGAATATTCCTTAATTAAGGGATATTGGAGTCTCTGGGTATTCACTTCGAAGGTGTAACTCGCTCATCTGCTGAGCCCTGGAGCGCCTCGCAACTTGAACGCGAGACCCTGAACCCACAAGCTGAACCTACCAACCCTGATATAGGGGCCTTCATAATGACCGTTGATTCCCTATACTATTTTGAGGGTTCCTTAAAAATTTACAGTATAGTAATATCACCCAGAGACCACTTCTAATTTTTCAAGGCCCCTTTCTTAAAGTCGTTTTAACATCCCCATACCTAGAGAGCTCTAAGCCCCACATCCGGTGAACTCCCCTTAAGCACTCCTGAAGGACCAAATGACCCTTAAAAGTAGGGGGCCCCATACCCATATACTATGAATCCCTATAATGGTATATGAACCTCAAACCCTTTTAGGGTTCATTTCGTCCTTAAGCACTTCCTTGAAAGCCCCCAGCTAAAGGAGCGAACTCCCAACCCGAAGCCTTGTGGAACTCCCCATTCCTGCAGAACTCTGAGCCTCAAATCCTAATCTTCGAAGTGACGACAACAAGCCCCGAAACCTAAAGCTGTTTTTGCCAATACCCCGCGAGAATTCCAAGTCGAAAATCCGAAACCCCGTTTGGGAATCAGGACTCCTAAACCCCAAAGCTGTTTCTGTTAATACCCCTAGGACCCCAGAGTAGGCCCTTATTCCCTTTTGCAGGGTTTGGGTTCCCTTATAACCCCTTTTAAACCAAAAAGGGCACCCTTTTTCTTCGTAGGCTACTCTTAGGTCAAGACCCCGAGAGAATTCCAGGATACTCCTAAACCCTAAACCCTAAGCCACCTTAAACCGTTTTTGCTACCAGGATGCTCCCCAGCTCTCCCGTTCGAGGCCTGTCGTGAAGGCGGACGAGCCGCACCTTTCGGGCCACTTGCGGATAGGCGATGCGGGCGTTCAGGGCAAAGAGGCATCATGCGGGAGTTTCCGGAAATGGTATAGCACCCTAAATGGTAGGATCCTTATTATAAGGACCCCAAAATAAGGTACCCCGAATTTTCGGAAACTCCCATGCGTTTAGGGTGGCGTAGAGCCCCACGAGACGGAAGACCTTGCCTATTTAGGCGTATGGCATCACCCACCCCCACCCTAGGATTCAAATATCTATCTTAAGATCTCAACCTCAACACCCCACCCTAGGACTCCGACCCAAGATCTCAACCAAAACACCACACCCTAAGCATCCAACACATCATGTGATTCTAATGAAGACTCCTCATCCCACTACCTACATCTTTTTGGTTGTATGTCCCGAAGACTGGTGGGTGCTGCCGGGTGTTTGCCTGGTCCTAGCCCACTCCACATGTCGTAGCAATCCAGGACAAGCTTGCGAACAGGGCAGTTTTCTAGCGACATAGCCATGGGGGTTTCGTGGAATTTTTGTGGCCCCGCTGTTGCAGAATGCAGCGTCTGTCTCCTGCGCCCCAATAGCACAACGTCGGCCCTCGTGCGTGGAACAGTAAGCTGTTTAGTTGCAAGCTGGCATTCTGGCGCGATGGGGGTGTTCGACCGGCCTCGTCGGCAGTTTCGCGACCGGCGCAGGTGCGCTGCACTCTGCTGCCCTGTACTGCACTAGTGTTGCTGATAAGCTCTTAGTCAAGCTGCCCTCGCCACATTCCAGATGTCCATGTGCAGTTTGCTTTCTCGATGTTTTGCAGACACATATACCGTGGCAGTTACCTGTTGAAGGCTCTTTGCGTAGATTGTCATCCAGGAAGTAGAGGGCCCAGCCGCTTGCTGTTGATTGACCAGCCATGGCTAGAATCAGCGGAGGACTTCTGTTAATACTAGCTTGTGCAGCTGCCACAGCCTCCAGTCTTGCAGCGTTCACCTCGGCATCGGCGTCGGCGACTGGCCGAAGTTCCTTGTTCCAATGTCGAAGAGGTGATCCGCGATGTCCTCCGAAAGTGGCACAGCACTTTACCTCTAACAGCTTCCATCCAGGCCAGGACATCGAAACCCGCCCAGGCCAGGAGGCTCGGTGGGTTGAAGAGTCGCTGATGAACACGTGCTACAAGCTCGGAATCAAGCCTAGCACCATAATGGAGTCGCCCAAAAAACAGTGGGCGCCTTCCAGAAAAGGGATCTCGCTACGAGCATTTGCTTGGGGTACGGCCATCGTTTGTGCGGTGTGCCTTGGAGGCACGATCGTGGCATACATCGTCAAAAGTGCAGCTGCTAAGACTTTCTGGGGCAAATTTATGGGGCTTTTCAAGCGGCAATATCTCCCGGCCGGAGCAAAGCACTACAAAGTGTGGAGAAATACAGCAGTTGGGTCTGCTGCAGTGTCGGTTGCCTTGCATGAGTGGGCAAGTCGCGAGTACAACAGTGTTTCTAAGCTGAGCCAGCAAGTTGTGGAACTTCAGCAGGTACTGAGCGAACTGAAGGAATCCCGGCGCGGGGATGCTGAGGTGTAGCGGCTTAAGACTGTCTAGTGGCATCAGCCGGAGATGCACCTTTACACAGCACTTCTTCCTGTGTTGCCTCATTGCTTTGCCGACACGACCCCGCGAACTTATGGCTCGATGCTGCATTGAAAATGAATGGTGCGCTTGCAGTTGCACATGCTTGCACCAGTGCCTTTTTGACTATTGATCGGCGAGTCTACCAACGCAACTGCCTGCCGCAATCCTGATGCTCACCAGACCGGCATGCGGAAACTTGTCTTTGAACCAACTTGTATCCTCGCGCAGGTGGCTGCCGGATCACGTCAGCACATCTTCCGGACAGCTCAAGCATTGTCGTCATGTACACTTCACACAGGTCAATTGCACCCCCCCCCACTTTCCTCCTGCAAGGAGAAGCTCTTCATTGCCTACAGCACGCACTTCCATGACTGCCAGTGTTTGGTGATTTTCGCTTGTTGCAAGCCAGACTCTTTGATGAACATTTTGAACCAATCAAGACTTGCGAAAGATGCAACAGCAACACCAACAACGTAAAGTCCTGCAATCTCAACGGCATAAATAGTGCGAAAACACAGCAAACGCATAGAAACGCGTCTACAGCTACAGCGAACAACAAACACAAATAATAAACTCACGTGTGACAACTCGGTGGTCGTAATGGGCTGTTGTAGTATGGCATTGTGTTTTCAATGTTTGCGCTACACCTGCAATACGTTGCGGCTGTGTGTTTTCATGTTTACTTCTTCTTTGTCTCCCTTCTTTATGTTTGCACCTTATTATCATTTCCTTAAGCAGTTTCGGGAACATCCTGTGTCATGGTTCCTCTATGGCGCTATGGTGCCGAACGTGCTCTTGAATGACTCAAGTTAGTGACTCTGTGCTTCAATGGGGAAGAATTCTGTTTAGTATCATTTGTTATCATGCTTCTTCTATGCCTTTTCGCCGTGTGCGCTCTGAAAGGCAAACTCCAAAATGTTGCTAGTAATGCTGTCGGATTGCGACAAAGTTCGTTTAAGCCTGGCATTTGCAATTGTTTCCCTCATCCCTGATATTCCCTGATCGCCCTCATGTGGTCACTAGAATTGATGACATCCAGGTCCAAAAGGTCACTTGTGATTTCTTCCTGATCCTTCTGAACGAACATTTCCATGCTAACATATATAGGTCTCATATCTGTGACTGCGTGCTCAAGAAATTTGTGTTGAAAATACTTTAAACTTTCAATAACTCAAAGCGTAAATACGCTCTATTGTTACCTTCAACATAATGATATCTCTGACCCAGTTTTTCATCAGTTCTTTCTATGGTATAAATATTTTGCGACCAATTTAATACACGTTCTTTTAAAAAAGGGGTTCCTTTTCCTATATATTTTAACTTCATCACCAACACTTAATTCAGTTTATAACCGATTTCGTTTAGCATTCATATTTAAATGCAGTTTAACTGTTAATTCGTTACTCGGTTTTCTGGCATCCTTTGGGGTGAAACCAGTAGCAGAATGCTTCATTTTATTATTATATGTTAGTAATATTTCAAAAATATAATCGGTCCATTGGATATTGTCTTTGCCTTTTCTCTGATCGGCTTCAACACGACGATATAATAAATCTTTGAACGTCCTAATAGCTCTTTCGCTGAAATTTGGATGCGCCCTAGTTCTGTGGTGTTCTATGTTCTGTTCCTGTAAATACTTTTGTATTGCCTCCTTGTTCATTGCGCATTCATCATCGGTAAAAATTATCTTTGGCTTCTTCCCATTTTATGTAAGCATTCAATCATCCCACTCGCTAGATCTGCTTCTTTCTTGCCTTTTATGGCCACCACGTGCATAAACTTATCAAATATATCAATCATTAACATGCCTACTCTAAATTTTTGATCTTTCAAATCAGTAATAAAAAACAAATCCATCTGATACTCATATGCTGAATGGGGGGCGGCAAAGCTATTTGAACCGACGGGATTACGCTTTTGTTCAACATTCTTCTTAGAAAAAGGTTAATATCAGACATTGTGATGGTTTTGTCTTTCTCCCGTGCTTCTTCTAAAGTCCGGCTTCTACTGCCGAAACCCGCGCGATCAAACTACACATCATTAATATTTTTTTGCTTCTCGCTCATATAAAAACGAAAGAAAATAATGATTTAATAACCAAATTAAATCATCATTCGGAATTCGGCATTATGATCTTGCAGTTATTCATGTCATATTTTGCCGAACCATGCTTGGGCTTCATCGGCTTCCTTGCATTCAATATTTCTATATATTCCTGATAGCAATTCATCATTAATCTCCTCGGGCTTCAGTTTGATATTGTTAGCTTCTTCATACTCCTTGATCTTCTTTTTCTGGTTGTGTCTTTGTGCAGATTCCCGTTTCTTTTGCATGTATGCCTCGTCCTTGTTGCGCTTGTGATAATACAGTCTGTTGTATATAGCCAGTTGTTCTTTGATTTCTTCTATTGTCATATCCTCGGGTTTATTGCTCATATTACTACTATATATATATACATATATATATATATATAACTTTTTAGTTTTCTTCAGATGAATTTTCTTTAAAACAAATCTTCAGAAGAATCATTTAAAGGGAAATTCAATATATAGTTTAACTATATTAGTATATGTCCAAAGCCATTAAGCGTAATACGGAAGCACTACAAACATTTTATAACAACAGACGAAACCGCATCTCCCAAGCCACCAGAACAAAAGTTCAAAATCTAATTAACTTGTATCCAGATCGTAAGATCGCCCAATTCAACACAGCAGACAATTTAATTAGGAAACTCGCCACCGCAAAAACAGACAAATAACAAACTAAAGCCGAAAACGAATATTCTTAAAAATACGACGAGCGCACGGATAAAGAACGACTAGGTCAGAGAATGGCACACGCAAAAGAAGACAACAAAAGAACAGGAAGAACCAACCCAAGAAAACCAAGAACTTATTCAATCAATGTCTATTTATACCAACTTAAGACAGCATCACACCAAGGACTATCAGTATCCTTCAGAGACATCAGGGGAAGGGCGTATGTTCCGATTTATATGCAAGATCTAACAGCCAATGTAGCAACCACGTCGTGGGTTTAAAACTTGACGAGGAGACGAATATTTAGAGACGAGAAGCCCGATACAAAAACATTTCATAGGCTCAAACTGTAATTAATGACAGATGACATTTTTAAAGCCGATGTCGGTTCTGCTGAAGGTTGCATTGCTTGTATTAAAGTTAACTACGCCGAAAGGGTAGATAACGCCGATGCTTTCAAGCCACAAGACGAAGAATTAACAAACACAGAGAATGCCAGTATGTATCACAGATATATTCAGACACCCTTAGATCCACAGTATGAGACCTTCAAGGAAGCCATTAAAGTAGAACATTATGAAAAGAACGAGTGTTGGTTTAACACCTTGACCGATTATTGTAGGATACTCTTATGGGAGACAAGAAGAGAGAGAAAAACAAGCTAACAAAAGAAGCCATCCTAAAAATCATAAATGAGACGGAAGAAGATTTTAAAACAAAAGGGGCGTCAATAACAGATATGGCGAAGGTGTTTGAACATTTTAACTTGCAAGTCAGAGTTTATGATGTCTTTGACACTCTGATGTATGGGCGCGACCCAAATAAAAGAAATCACAATATCCCAGCCTTTTATGCTATAGTAAAGAACAGTCATATCTACACAGTCAGTGATAATTTGAATATGTTACGGCAGATGCAACCGAAAAGCAGTAATCACGACGTATCAGTGAAGGCATCTTCAGATTATCACCTTAACGAGAAGGAAGAACCAGTGGAATGTAAAATGATCACATCCCTAGACGACATCCGGAAATATACGGAGCATAGCGAGTACACGTTGGTATATAATGGCTACGATCTGTCTCATCTCTTTATCTTAGTAAACAAGCAGGGCATGAGCCACAGGTTAGATTCAGTTCCGGCTTTGTATCTGAACTTATTTTTAAGTTTAAAATCGAAGATAAAGTAATCAAATACAAAGTTAAGACGCAGAACTTAGTAAATAATTCCATAGATGGTTCCCTCTGAGTGAGAACGGAGCTGATCTACAATAAGATGTCTGAAGCTATGTTTAACTTTAATACCGCCCTCTTCAAGGCTACTCACAAGTCGTATTACAACGAAGTAGATGTAGAGATTTTCAAGGAGTGTCGCACCATCCCCCAACAGGTTATATAAATACACATTATTATTTATAAAACCCTAAGACAGACAAAGACGACAAATACTTTTTTATACCCCAGAAGTGACTACGGAGATAGATGTCAGAAAAGCTTACACGTCTGCGTTTAACAAGATCGCCGGTATATCGGTATTCACTCAGTTTGATATGTGGAAGCCCTTCAATGGCACTGTAGCAGATTTTCACGATCTGACTCTCTACTTGGTCAAGCCACCAAGCGGAGTTTATTTTTCAATAAAGCCTACACTTTAATATATTCATATGTTGTTAAAGCACTTCGTGAAGCAATGTAAGATTCTGTATCACCCAGAGCATATAAGGTGGATAATAGGAAGATCACGGCGGAATTATGGAAGACAGACATCTCTGACAAACCAGCCGAGGACATCAGAATGAAGAAATTAATAGCTAATGTTAACTTCGGGCTACTTGAGAAGATCACGAATAAAGCCCATAAAAGTTATGCCTTTGATACTCTAAAGGAAGCCTTTTATTATCAAAACAAGATCGGCGGAAAGATTAACAGAATTTCGGGTATGTATGTTGATGAGATTGAGTTGCGTAACGGCGAGACAGACTTCGTAGAAAAGGAGATGGACAGAACATATTATTGCCTAACAGGGACTAACAGTCTCCGATAAAGCCACCCTGCGAAACGGATATATATATATATATACACATACATATACATCAAAGAGTTATTATTGTAACACCATAACTTTAAAATGCACACCGACTACCCCAATCTAACAAAAATTCATGTAGGAGTATGGAGTGTTAAAACAGAT